CCACAAGTGTGATTTTTTTTCTTTTTTTTGTACAAAGTAAAAGCTTTTCAAAACAAATTTCTTGGTTAAACATTAGAACACAGTAGTGTGATAAACAGTGCAATTTTTTTCATATTTTATTTAATATTAACAAAATTATCCACAAATAATGTTTATTTTTTCACTTAAAAACTGAGGTACGTACACTCAGATTAATAAAACATAATTTGTTACGTTTTGAATATGGATATTTTTCTTACAAAAACGCATGGATTAGCTAGAGGAGGCCTTTGTTCACCCCCCGGAGCCATGTGAGACACTTTTTTTTAATGGATGGGCGCATTTTATTTAACTGCTTTTGGACGGATGCATGCAACACCCGCTGAGTGGCATTAAACAGCTTGAAAGATCAAAGACCATTTTTAATATAACTCCGACTGGATTCGTCTGAAAGAAGAAAGTCACATACACCTAGGATGACTTGAGGGTGGGTAATTTATGGGCTAATTTTCATTTTTGGGTGAACTAACCCTGTTTTGAGTTCTTTAAATTCTTCTCATATTTGACCACTTTAAGGCTAGACACTTTCCCTACATCAAAAATCAGCTGTGAAGAAGGATGTAACATCTCTATCACAGGAATCAAGTGTGTCCAAGCAGGAAGTAAGGGTTCCCCAGCAGGAAGTAGAATGCAAGCTGTTCCTGTCCATACCCAGCTGTCACAGTGTAGCTATAAGGACAGCACTCTAGTCAAGATAAATGAGTTATCAGGAGCTATTTCCCATCTGAGGTCACCCATCCCAGCCTGAACGCGTACACACACGCTCCACACTGGATTTGAGGGAATAAGACCAGAACTCACCTTCCTGGTCACGGCTGGGTCGAGATAACTCTGCACCTTGTGGATGTATGTGTGAGGAGGATTCTTCACCTGGAATCGCTCCTGGAAAAGAGAGATATGGAGATGTGTTCATCATTTGACTGATTTTAGAGTATGAAAGTCAGTAAATATTTGCATCCGTTGTGGGTGTGTGAGGGATGTGGAGTAGGATGATCCCATTTGTGGGTCTTTTTGAGTCATATATACCAGTAAATGTGAATTACATTCAATATTCCCATAATGTTGTCCCAATGAGATTAACAACGTTTGCTGAACAATTTTATGTTTATGTTTATTAAGAGTTTGTGAGCTCCCAGCATGCATTGTGACATGATTAAAATAAGTTCTTACTCTCATAGGAGTGATGTTTATCATATTATCATCTTCATTGGAGTGTTGAGTACCATGTGCGACTCTGCAATGTTCACTTCATATATGAGTTCAATTGCTAATTTTGCAGTGAACAAAGTACTGCAGTATTATTTGAGACAATTAAAAACCTCTTCAGACTGAACACGTTCTGAATACAACTCCACAAACAATTAGAGTTTAACAAATCACTCTGATTCCTTGAACAATATCAGTCTCTGTGTGATCAGATGGTCTGTTCACCATATAATAAAAATTAATTTAGGGGACCTATTACCACCACTTAATGCATGGCTGCAAGATTAAAATAAATAAATGACTGATTTTATTAAATATTGAAAGTTGCAAGCATTATTTTGTTTTGATGAGTTCTGCTAATATAATAAAGTTGACCATTAAAACAACTCAATATTGTATGTAATTTAAACTGAAATCTCTGTGTTAATTGATTTAGTTGTAGTAACTTAACCAAAATTGTCTTGATAACTGCAGTGACAAGTAATACCTTACATTTTCTTTAGAATTACACGCTAAAGTTACCTTTTACATATGGTATGTCATCTGTTAATCTTATCTGACTAATTATTAATAGTTTAAGAATAATAACTATGCATACTAATAGTTTTAGTATATTCCATATCAAATATGTATTCCATTCTGTCACACATTTGGATGTTTCCCTTGGCAACAGTCAATCAACAGCAGCACATAACAGGAAAGAGGAAGAGACCTAGTTCCCTTCAAAACAACACAAGGCCCCTGCACACACACAACACACCAGCCACTGATATAACATTGACATTAACATGTGGCCCGTGTGTGTGTGTGCATGTGTGTGCGTCTGGGGTGCATTGTATGAAATATGAGACAGTATAGCATTTTTAACATTAGTATAAAAAACCGCAAGCATTTTCTACACTAGAAAAAAATATATAAGTAAAAAAAAATGCTATATAAAGCCAACCTATTATTATTGTTACTGTTTTTAGTAGTAGTAGTAGGGCCAGGTCATGTGATCTCAACATACAAAATATTTATCAGGGGTGGTCACATGATGGCCAGTACAGTTCACCATTTCTGTCAGTATGACTGGTTGGATGGGACAAACAGTGGAAGATGAATAGAAAACACAAAACAGACGAGTTGTGTTGTCTTCATGAGAACAAGATTGAGACAATATGTTATGTCTGCAGGGACACAAGGTCACCTGATGAACAAACAGTGACTCAATGTAGTACAGATTGCTTACACTTGTCTCACTGAAACATGTGGTGAAATCTAAAATACATGACTGGGATCGGAGGAATTTATTTCCATGGGGCACAACATGTGGCACCATGTTAAAGTTTAACCATAAATGAAAGTTCTGTAATCATTTACTCAACCTCATGTCGTTTTAAACCGGTATGACTTTATTTCTTCTGCAGAACACAAAAAACGGCATTTTGAAGGATGTTTTGTCAATCCAATGAAAGTCAGAGGGGTTCAAAATAACACTTGGAATGATATGTGGGTGAGTAAATGATGACAAAATTTTTATTTTGGGGTGAACTACAGGTGACAATACCCCCTGTAGTATCTTGAGGTTATGTATCTAGTCCATAGATCAACCCATGCCGGTTCCAAACCTGCAAACTTTCAGTCACTCTGGGATTACATAACCTTCAGTTCTTTAGCTGCTAGCTGCACTTTACTCTAGATGAAAGACTGTGAGAATGTAGGAGGTAAGAGAAGGAGAGAATGTGTTACCTGGTCACAAATGAGTTCCCATTTCTTCTCGTTGTCGTACTGCCGTAGTAATCTTGCTTTGTCTGGAGGCAAGTTCATTGAGTTCTGTGTAAAGACACACAGAGAGAGTGAAGTTAGTTAAAGTCCTGTAACTTCCACAGCTAGAAAAATGATTAAGATTAAGAAATTATTTATAGCAATGTAAATCTCACAGATACAACCTTTAGGAAGTAAAGTGTGCTTCAAATGCAATGCAAAGTCTTTAAAAATGAGCTGAAAGTGAAGAATATGTGTTTGTCTGAACCCTTAAAAGTAAATCCACCCCATTCATAACAAACTCACTTCCATGGCTGTGTGTCTGTATTAGAAAAAATGACTGTGTGTAAAATGTGCGGGTTCAGCAGAAGAAGAGGAGACACATGGGGCTGTAAGTCTGCTATGCCAGCATCTTCTTCCTCTACAGACAGCAGCGAGAGCTGCTCAACTCAAGAATGAATACTGCTATAAAACACTCCCATCAGTGCAGAAAGAAAAAGTCATCAGGGGGCGGATTCAGTAAAAAAGCCTCTTAAGAAAGAAAAAAGTAAGAGACAAAATCTACTGCAAAAAGATTGAAAGAATTGAGGTACAATTCTTAAAAAAACATTATTTGGAAAATAAAAAAAAGAATAAAATGACAGTAGTGTAATACAACAAATTCAATACAGCCAAATCTAAATCCAAATCATTTTTAAACCTTTAAGTATCAATCCTCACAATTATTCGCATGTAAAGGCTGCAACATGTGTTGCAACATTGGAAACTGGAAAGCATTTGGTTAATGGAGAGAAAAAAAAAAAAAAAACTTCAATAGGCAAAAGCTGCAGGTTCTCATTGAGGAAATTATTATTGCAGGGAAGAAAATTCTCCTTGGGAGGCTGATTATATCAGGATGGAAAGTAGGAGGTGTGCGCATGGGAACAAGCGGCAGACGCTGTTTCAGCGATGACAATAGATCATATAAGTAAAATATCGTAGTAGTTATATGTTTTATATGCTGAATGCTTAATATTTAAAACAACCTAATAAATTCATAAACTCAACATCTTACCGTTAAGGATTTGATTTCTTCTTCAACACAGTCTTGTCATTTTTATTTATTTTTTCAGATACTAGGATCTAATTGATTTGGTTCACGAACTCTTCACTTTTTTTACCCCACAACCTCTGTGAAGTAAATGAAAGGAACAATTCCAGAACCAATGCCTTAAAAAAAAACTAATAATATGTAGTGCTCTATAGACTTTATGAAATTACGTCACTTAATCAATCCAAGATATTTTTCACTGCAACAGTTTACTAATGCAGCTTAGTCTTTTTCAATAGGAGTGACTTTGTGCCGGCCTTTGGAGATGTTTATGCTCAAACATACAGCGCATCTGCACATGTGTGCGCTCAAACTGCAAACATGTGCTGAGATCAGACCTCCGCCTCTTACACAAGCGCTGTCCTCTACGTCTGTCCTACTTTCACACATCTGCTGCATGGAACTCCCCCAAAATACTGCAGTCACCAGAGCCCCAATCCGTACCCCACCCACCCCAACACAAACACACGGCCCTCTCCAACCGTGTGCTGATGTGAACACTAACCCATTTGAAAAAACCTATACTGTTTATCTGTGTGTGTAGACGTGGGCTGCTCTTGTTGTTTTTCTCTGTAGGTTTCCAGAGCAGTGTTATATGCACACAGGGAGGCTATGTTGTGTTTTCCAGCCTCAACACAGCAGCTGTTGGCCAGAGCGAAACCCAACACTTCAAATCTGATCTAAGGCAAGCCATCGTAATGGTTTTGAGCATTGTTTTCAACAGCACTTCTTTAATATGAAGACATTAGCTCTGTTCTAAAACCTAAATTGAACTGCTTGACTGTATAGGCAGCATCCTCACTGAAACCAGACCTCTCAAGCATTTACTCACGACTGATTCCAACAGAGTTTGCCATTAAGCTAACCGTGCGAAAGATGTCACTCATACATATTAGGCAAAACTGATTAATCATTATGTGATTAACCATATATGATATGATTTTCCCATTGTGTGCATTAGAACAGAGAAAACGTGTCGTGGTGGACGGAAAAGTCACTCAACATTTCTATTTAAAGTAAACCCTTGTGATAAAGAAGTACACTTTTGCATACTTAAAAAAAAAGAGTACTTATTACGGAAATACTAAGCTTTAAAATAATATGCTTGTGTGAACTGAATGTAATTTTTGGACAATTAATTGCATGTCATTTGCAATTAAATGGAAATTAATTACCATTTAGATTTATATTGAATGCAATTAGCTGAAATTTAGAGTGCTTTTTTTTTACCCACTTACAGACTTAAGTACATCAGTGTATGTAAATGTATAATTACTTACATGGTCTGCCAAAGTGTACTGTTAAATATAACAACAAGTATTTGATAAACTAAAATATGCTTTAATACAATTTCTATTGAAACTTGTCATGCATTCAAATATATGTTATTACATATGTGTAATATTGAAATTCATTACATTTACAATGTAATAACTTCAAATGTAATATCAAATAACACTCTACAGTTACAATTATATTCAAGTGCTTTACATGTGCTGTAGCATGTTAGTCAAAAATAAGTGTACTTCTTTGAAGCATGACAAAAGATACATAAAACATAATGAAAGAATTGTAAAATGTTAAAATATGTTAATCTGACATTACAAAGTACACAAAAGTGAGCTCTCTTTAAGTACACTTAAATGGCTTTATATTAATTATATTATCTCCAAGTACAGTTTCTTTAAATATACTTTTTAAGATTTAAAGTACACTACAAGTGCACATTCAATACAAGCACACTTCTTTTTCACAAAGATACATGCAATGTTATTTTAGAAGAATGAAAGAAGTTGACACTGCCACAAAAGAGATTGTCTGTATATTAAATGTAACTCACTAAAAACAAACTACAGACAGGTTAAATGTTAAAATGAAGAGCGTAGAGAATGGAGAAGAATTTTAAATACATTTATTTCATACTAAGTAGTTTAAATATGTTAACGTATTTAATGACATATATTGCTCACATATAAAAAAATATAATTAAACTTTATTTGGAGCATTACTTGTGCACAATGCACATTTCTTAATATTAAGCCTCAAATGTGTTTTAATGTCACTATTGATGAGGATTGTATGATCTTTTAATAATGGCGGTCTTTAAATGCAAGATATTTCAAGTGTACCTGAAGTATACTTGCAGTAGGTCCACTGTAGCACAGTAAAATATACTTCAGCATATCTTTAGTTGGACTTCAGCACTACTTCCACACAATTAAAGTGCATTAAGCACAACATTAGCTGTTCCAATTTAGCAGACTTTAAGGCCCAATCCCAATTCTACCCCTTAGCCCTTCCCCTTTCCCCTACCCCTCCGTTTCGCGCGTTCACGTGAAGGGGTAGGGGTGTCTCAATTCTCTTTTGGTTGGAGGGGGAGGGGTAGGGGAAGGGCCAGATAGCCCTTCAAACGAAGATTTTTCGGGACCACACTTCAAACGAAGGGGTATGAATTATCTCAGCGTAAACCGGCTTCAGCGGCAACATGGCTGCCCGAGAGAACAAAAAGACACAAATGTAAGCATTTTTTGGCATTAATAAAGATTTTAACGAAAAGTAATCATTTGTTTTATGTTACAGGGCAATAACCACCATAGACATTGAGGGAGGCTAGTCCCCCCAATAATTAGAAATCGCTAAACCCTTTTCTCAAATATTGCCAATTCGAGAGAGAGAGAGAGAGAGAGATGAAAGTTGCGTGCATGCGCGTCTATGCGTTTCTCTTTTTAGAGTGACTTTACTTAAAAAACAGCGATTTTATCCTCTCGTTGCTGGAAAATATAATGTAGCGATTCAGTATTTAAACTGTTATTAATAAAAGTCGTGGTGCAGCGTTGACAAGTTTCTTTTCTCCTGGATGTGTGAGCTGCGCGATCTCCTGTATTGTAGGAGCTAGACGACGTATGATGACGTGTGACGTATAGTAGTAGTGCCCCAATACTTAGGGGAATATTTTCACCCCTACCCCTTGACACTCTGTTTCAAGGGACAAGGGGAAGGGGTAGGCGGAGGGGTAGGGGAAGGGGAAGGGGAAGGGGAATAAAATAGAATGAGCATTGGGCCTAAGTATACATGTTTAGTATACTAAAATTACCAATTGCAGGGTATTTTTATTTAGTACATAAAATATAAATGAATTTCTAGTATACTTAGCATGAAATAAATGTATTTCAGATACATTTTAGTATATTTATTTTTCACTAGGGGAGTTTCCTCTTATCTCTCTTTGAAAAGCCAAACACAAAGTTTCTGGTTCTGTGCTTGTGGACAGACATGCTGATGAAGGCTGTGTAATATGATATTGCTATGACAACAGAGAAACCTAAATCTAATCTGCAAGGCCAGATGTCTGACAAATGAAATAAAGATCTGCAGATCTACGGATTCTATTTGATAGGCAAACGCATATGCTGAACAAATACACACGCTTGCAGAGCTGCCAGTTCATGCCAAGTTCAAGTTTTACAAAACAACCGGCCCAACCCACACCGAAGTGACTACCCACACCTTGATCTATCTTTAATGTTTCAGAGACACACAATGTAAGATTCCTGGTGAAACAACATATCCAGACAGGGCAGATTATTTGTTATATTTACTTTACTTTACTTTACTTTTAGTCATTTAGCAGACGCTTTTATCCAAAGCGACTTACAAATAAGAAAAAGTAATTAAAACTAAAAGGTAAAACTCTATAAATACTATATATATATACACACATTTATTTGATATAGTTATAATTATATTTCCAAATGTAGAATCCCTTGAGGCCTGCAGATGGATGATTAGACAAGTAGAGCCAGGCAGAGATAGTCTGATGCATATTACACACCAAAACAAGAGCTGGGCTCAACCCACCGATTCCAGTCTGTCGGAAGATACAAAGGTTTCTATATCTGTGAAACATTCAGCACTATTTATTAGGTTTAAGTGGATAGAAAATCTGATTACAAAGTCTAAACAAATGTATTACATTTTT